CCACCTCTGCAGCGAATGTCTCCAGGGAACCCCATGTGGCAGTTCAGGGGTGGGCTGCAATTTTTTTAATAACCGGTTCTCTGGCTGGGTAGGCGTGGCCAGTTGGTCATGTGACTGGGTGGGTGATGTCACTCATCACACCCAGCCCCGCCTCCCGGCCACTGGCCTCAAAGGAACAGGTAGGATTCAGGTTGGGGCTAATCCCATCATTGGCTGGCCCCACCCCCAAACATTTTTGGCCTGTTTTTTGGCTATTTTCAGGCCATTTTTCAGGCTGTTTTCAGGCCATTTTTTAGGCTTTTTTCACCCCACAACTGGCTGAAAACCACCCCAAAACAGATGGGGGGGGCATCCAGTGGTCCAATTTGCCAGTTCTCTGAACTATGCAGAATCGGAGCAAGGGGTTTGGGAGAACCGGTCCAAACCAGCCACAGTCCACCTCTGTGGCAGTTACTTATTTCCCCAACACTTCTGATTGCATCGTTGCAAAACAAGTTGATGGCATTTACCTACCATCTAAGGAGTCCACCTTCCGAAGCCCTTCGAGTGAGACTTAACTTATGCATCTCAGCCATTTCTTTTAGAGTCTCTGCTGAATAAAGACCAATGGGGTTGTTATATTGCCTGGCGGGGCTCAGCTGGGCCTTCGCTTTATTGCCGTCGGTAAAGACTGCGCCTGTTTTGGAACCTAAGTCAGATTTCGCTGGCGAGAGGTCAGGGGTCACAGAATGAGAGGAGGACATGGAAGATCTAAAGCTGGCACTCATTAAGAAGGAAGAGCTCTGTGACAGACTGGTCTCTTGTCTGCTGAGGTAGCCTGAATGGGCCCCATTGCTGGCTAACATGCTATTTTTGGGGCCCACTGAGGTGCTATTTAGAGGACTGAAGCTCCCTCGATCGCCACTGACTTCTGAGACCGAATCCTGTAGAAGCAAATATGCAGGCAAAGGAAGGAAAAGGGGGGGAGGGGAAAAAAGGAAGGAAAACGATCATAACATTCATGCAGAAAGGAAAAATTCCCAGCTCTGGCATTCTACATAGAGCAGTAAGGTTGCCAACCATTTATTTAAGCAAAAAAGAAAAGAAAATGTAGGTATTATGAGCTGTGGTGTCAGTGTGGTTAGAGTGCAGTACTGCAGGCTACTTCTGCTGACTGCTGGCTGCCTGCAATTTGGCAGTTTGACTCTCACCAGGCTCAAGGTTGATTCAGCCTTCTGTCCTTCCGAAGTGGGTAAAACAAGGACCCAAATTGTTGGGGGCAATAGGATGACTCTGTAAATCACTTAGAGAGGGCTGTAAAAGCACTGTAAAGTGGTATATAAGTTTAAGTGCTATTGCTATTTTATAGTCTGAGCTGTCAGGACCGAATCGGTTGGTCTCAGAAATCCAAAACAGGGTAAATCCAATGAAGGCCATTCCAAACAAAATCTGGAATATATTGCTGTTTATAGACAAGCAGAGGCAAATCACTTGGTGTGGGTATATTTGTTTTACTGGTAGCCCTGGTTGGCAACTTTACACACAAATGTCTTGCTTAGCAACTGAAATTTGGGGCTTGATTGTGGTCGTAAGTCAAGGACTCCCTGTATTAGGCATTGGCATCCAAACAAATAAAAAGCAACTTCAATAGACTTGCATTAGTTCAAGCGAAAACATTAACTTTGCCTCTTCCCAAAGTGGAACCTTAATCAAGCTTCTCCAAACAGCTGCTATCATTGCTTATATAACAGGTCGTTCACTGTGAGTGCCAATTTGTTTGCCTGGATGGGACAGTGGAAACCGGGATTACTGGGAAGCATTTGCATTCATGACAATGCAATAAAGGCGGAAGGAAAGGGTGAAAGGGTTTGTAGTTGGCCTTTGCATAATTAGTTTCAGCTATAAAGGCTGCTGGAAAAGTTCATGCTGGTCAAGGCCATGAAATACAGAGAGCAGAGCAGGCTGCGGAGAAGAAGCTATTCATAGATCCTGCCTAGCACATAGCTTTGGTGTGAGCCAATGAGAGAGGGTCATCGACACCGCAGGGATTTTGGAATCCGCGTCAGTAATTCTACCCTGGTTGCTCCCGATCTATTCTTTACCCCCTTGGCCAAAGAGATCGAAACCATGATCAGATGGTCCCTGTTCATGGAGTCTTCATCTGGTCCCTGTTCACGATGAAAAGGTTTGAATTCCAAGCTGCCAACTTCCATGCTGCAGGAAGAATTCACGTTCATAGCGTCGTTGTCATCATCACCATCAGAGTTGAAAGAGACCTTGGAGGTCTTCTAGTCAGGGGTGGGCTTCAAATAGTTTAATAACTGGGTCCCTGCCCAGTTGCTGGGTGGCCATGGCCATGGTGGGCATGGCCTAGTTGGCCTCTTGCACCACCCTGGTTGTGAAAATGGGTTGCGGGGACGGGGCTGTTTCCAGCCTTCTGGAACTTCAAGGAGGCCCGTTTTTTGCCCTCCCCGAGCCTCCTCACAGGTCCTGCACTTACCTATGATCCAAAACAGGCTGTGGGGGGACTCCTGGAAGGGGAGGGGTGGGGTGGGCGGGGCCAGCCAGGGGTGGGATTTGCCGGTTCGCTGAACTGGCCATAAATTTAATAACCGGTTCGCCTGAACCAGTGTGAACCGCTAGCATCCCACCCCAAGTTCTAGTCCAACCCCTATACCATTCCAGTCAAATGGATGTCCAATCTCTTCTTACAAACCTCCAGTGATGGAGCACCTACCGCTTCTGAAGGCAAGCCGTCCCACTGGTTAACTGTTCTCACTGTCAGGAAATTTCTCTTTAGTTTTAGGTTGTTTCTTTCCTTGGTTAGTTTCCACCCACTGTTTTTTGTTTTGCTTTCTGATGTTTGGGGAAATAAATTGACCTCCCCCCCTCTTCTTTGTGGCAGTCCCTCAAATATTGAAATATAGGTGGCTCCCTCAACCTAACTATTTTTTATAAACTCCCAACATTTAGATTCATGGAGAATTCAGAATGCTGGAATTAATTTTCTCTCTGCGCTGACGAAAGAAAAGAAGAAGAAAAAAAACAAGAAAGGCACGAGACATCTTTTCAGCCTCCTGTCTCAACTTTGGTCTTTTAAAAGTCTTTAAACAATGGAAAAACCTTCATTTTATCTCATTGCTTGTGTCTCCGAGCCAAAGAATGTATCTATTTAATTGCTCACTCCGAGGGTCCTTTGTGCAAGAAGAAGCCCAGAGGATTTTGGCGAGATAAGTTGAAGGTTACCTTGTCTCTGAAAATAAGTCAGAAGTGTGGGCCATCCCACTTTGTGAATCTTCACCCTGATTATTTGTGCAAACACCTGTATCTACCCTTCATGGCTCACCCTTAGGCTTTTCCAACTTTGAAAGCTCGTCGCGTTAGGATAAAGATTTGAAACACAAGGAAGAGAAAGGCACCCAAGTACTTTTTCTTTCCCTGCTCCTAGTGTTGAAAGTCAGAAGTGAACCAGGGGTGGCCTTCAAAAATTTCAGCAACCGGTTCTCTGCCTCGTTGCTGGGTGGGTATGGTCATGGTGGGCGTGGCCTAGTTGGCCTCCTGCACCATGACAGGGGGCGTTTTTGCCCTCCCCAGGCTCCAGAGGCTTCCCTGGAGCCTCCAGGAGGGCCAAAACAGCCTCCCTAGGCCCCGGAGGCTCTCCGGAGGCTGGAAATGGGCCCGTTTCTGGCCTTCCAGAGTCTCCAGCAGGCCTCTCCAGGCTCTTTTTTGCCCTCTCCAGGCTCTGCACGGGCCCTGTACTTACCTGGCATCCAAAACGGGCTGCTTCTGGGAGGGGTGGGCATGGGCGGGGCAGGGTGGGCATGGCCAGACAGGGGTGGGATTGGTGGTTCACTGAACCACCCAGAATCTTAGCTAGAGGATCACCCAAACCTGTGTGAACCCGTAGCAGCCCACCCCTGAAGCGAACCCATAGTTTCCTTGCTCTGGTCAAGTTTTTAAGGAAAAGTTTTATTGACTCTTTCCTGGAGTTTTTATTAGAAATGCTGGTGTTAAATATAATCCCTATTCTCTTCTCATTATGCATTTTAATATTAAGAAGGCTCTCTTCTTTGCTTGGCTTTGTTATTACCTCTTATTTATTGAAATACTTCAATTATTTACTGAAGGATTTTTTTACCCCAATGATCAAACAAAAAGATTCCCAGAAATGCCTAGCTAAGAGGCTAATATCAAATAATTACTGTGTTTCCCTGAAAATAAGACCCTGTCTTATATATATATATTTAACCACCCAAAAAGGCACATGGTCTTATTTTGGGGGAATGTCATCCACTGACTAACCTCACTTGTGCACGTTGCCCTCGGCCTCCTTTTCGCTGTCAGAGGCCTTTAGAAGCTTCTTCTTCTGCAGCTGGCAAGGCTTTCCTGAAGGCCTCTGCAGCTGACAACACACCTCCAGATCGATCCAGAGCTTTGGTATCAGCTCCAGAGGCCTTCAGGAAAACCTTGCCAGCCTTGCCGGCTGCAGAAGAAATGGGCCAGCAAGGGAGGTGTTGGGGTGTGTGAAGCCTGGCTACAACTGTCCAAAGGTAAGTAGTAGGACAGCTCCATTCCCCATCCCCACCTTAGCTTAATTTTACCCGTATACCCTAGAGTGGGAGGTTCTTAATTAGGGCTTATTTGGGGGTAGGGCTTATATTGGGTGCATGGGTAAAAATCAAACTAGGACTTACTTTCAGGGTAGGTTGTATTTTCAGGGAAACAGGGTAGAAGGTACAATAGACACAACAGCTAACAAGGATATCTAGAACTTGTAGACAATGAGTGTATCTCTCAAAGATGGGGATTCTTTTGAACCCTAGAGACATATCATTGCAAATTAGGAGGAAGAGAGGAGATGGATGGCTATTCTGTTCATGTAGAAGGGCAGAGTAATTTTTGCCGTGTGATACATTACAATATTATGACTGTAATTTCTCCCACTCAAAGGTCAGTCTCCCTGAAGAAAACTTTTACATCCAGAAACACAACAGAAACAAAGGAAGCTATTAGACATCTACCTTTTGATGAGGGATCACGGGCATGGGAGAATCGATCCTCGGGATGCTTGTTTGCATTGGAACTGGACGTTTTGATCTGGCAAGAACACAAGAAAAAATGGGTTATTGAGCAACTGATGATTTTCCACATCTTTTAACCAATTTATTATAAACTACTGTCAATATTGGCATCGCCCTTCTAGTTTTACTAATGAATCATCCATTTCCCCCCTCCTTTTCAAATCTGGGCACGTGTGCTTAGATCCTTTCGTCCATTCATCTTCTTCCCAACAACACAGGAATTTCAAAATTGCAACTAAGGAGAAAGAGTTCCATATAAGTACGAACAAACACATGAAACCAGAGCCTTAAGTTGCAGGAAAATGAGGAGAAGAGAGGTGAAATCTAAGGAATGACATTTCTTTAAATGCAATTGTCCATAAGGCCATGGACGAAACACAATTTCATTGGTTGAAAGAAATAACACACCAGGCCAATGTCCATCATTATCTACTTCTTCTTTCCTTCTACTGGTTCATGATTGGGCTGCTGACCCAACAATTAATTTCACATTTAGACCTTCTAACTGTACTGTGGAGAGGGACGTGGTGGCTCAGTGGCTAAGACGCTGAGCTCGTCAATCAGAAAGGTCAGCAGTATGGTGGTTTGAATCCCTAGTGCCGCGTAGTGGAGTGAGCTCCCATTACTTGTCCCAGCTTCTGGCAACCTAGCAGTTTGAAAGCATGTAAAAATGCAAGTAGAAAAATAGGGACCCCTTTGGTGGGAAGGGAACAGTGTTCCCTGTGTCCTCGGCATTTAGTCATGCCAGCCAAATGACCATGGGGACGTCTTTGGACAGTGCTGGCTCTTCGGCTTTGTAATGGAGATGAGTACTGCCCCCTAGAGCCAGAAATGACTAGCATGCATGTGTGAGGGGAACCTTTATCTTTACCTTTAACTGTACTAAGCCAAACAGGCTGGAGCACAGAGACAAAACTGGACAATTCTACTCCTCAGAGGCTTCTGAATTCAAAATAAAATAAAATAAGAAACTAGAGATGAAGAGTATATTAAGGTTGAATGAACATTGCAATATTTATCTTTCTTGGTTTACAGTCAGAATGTCCAAGGAGAGAGTCTAAATGTTTCTTTGATTGCACCATTGCACCTATTTTGACTGGTTTGCCCATACTCTATGGATACTCCTAGTTGAAGTTAAGGACAGGTACTAAATTCAGCCTCTTCTGATCCTAGGTTTTGAGCTGTAGAGGCAGGCAGCTATGGAGGGAAGATATGATATGATCATGACATCAACATGGCTTGTAGCACATGGCAATGTCTGTAAACTCTCTCTACTACACAGGTATTTAAATTTAAAAAATAGTTGTCAGAGAGCTCACAAAGGAAAATGTGATATTGCAGCTTCTTGGCAAAGCCTTACTCCATTCCTCTTTCTTCCCTTCCCTTATTTCAAATGCAGATGTCAATTAACCCAAAGAGGCAATTAATATTGTCCTCATATTCATAGATGGAATGAGAAAGAACAAGTTGCTTGCTCATGCTTTGGTGTCTGGTCCCAGGCTTTTGCAATGTTCTCTACTCTTACAAATAAAGAGGCTTGCTTTCGAATTAAATTTGCACTGTATCTTCTTCTGGTGTCCACTGAAACAGATTCACCCTTTGTCAGTCAGATGTAATGAAGCAGATGCCAAGGATTTAGAAATTGCCTTTCTCATTGCAAGGAGGCCATCTCTGTAATGAGTCTTGTGTTGGATCCTTCTGAGCAAGAGGAAGACCACATCTCTTGGGCAGGGGGTTGGACTAGATGACCTACAAGGTATCTTCCAACTCTGTTAATCTAATCTAATCTAATCTAATCTGATCTGATCTGATCTGATCTGATCTGATCTGATCTGATCCCCTTCCAGAGCTTGTGGAATATCCCGTGGAGCTCCATGTCATTCTGAAGAAGGACACTGAAGTCCAGGGTGAATTAAATGGAATCATTGCACATACAGTTCTCCAACCTGGTGTGTATGTCATGCTAAACCATGGTTTGCTTAAGCATAACTTAGTGAATATAATGGCTAGTTTCCGAAACCATGGTTCTACAAAGAGTATAAGATGGGTTGTAATAAGATGGGCATATTTGCGTAGACATTTGAACACGTACACAGACCTAACCAAGCGATTCAAGGACATCGAGTCTGACTAGAACCATCAAACCAATGTGATAACATTGAACTTCAAGGAATGGTTCAGCCAAGACATGTTTGAACTGAATCTTTGAATTGATTATCTGCACAGCCCACGTTGACCCAGGAAATGATCTCATCACATGCCTGGACAAATGCTTTTGAGAATCACGCTGTGGTACACAAATGAGACCTAGCACACTGTAATATGCATTCTGTTCAACAAGAAGACTAGCTCAGTGTGCTGGAAAATCCATAGCAATGCAAAGGGCAGTTACACAGACAGTATCCTTCACTGCTATTTAATCTCTATTGGGTACCAATCATGAATTTATCAGCCTTATCAAGATTCCTCCACTGAACAAACCTACTTGAAGTTTGCAAAATAAAGATATCCTGTCTACCAATGGCTTTGAATCCATTTCAGGGTGCTGGAATTAGAAAGAAAGCATTTCTTACTCACTTCTTAGCTGACTTGAAGCATTTCCCTCCCAACTCATCAAATTCCCTCATTTATTCACTAACCTTTGAATCAGAGGTGGTATTCAGCAGGTTCTGACTGGTTCTGAAGAACCAGTAATGGAAATTTTGAGTAGTTCAGAGAATTGGCAAATACCACCTCTGACTGGCCCCGCCACATCTATTCTCTGCCTCCCAAGTCCCAGCTGATCTTCTGGGTCTTCTTTTGTTGCCCTGCACATGAGAATGGAGCTGGAAAGCAGGTTAGTGGGCTGGGGAGGGAATGGGGATTTTGCAGTATCCTTCTCCAGCCACGCCCATCAGGCCATGCCCATCAGGCCACGCCCACCAGGCCATGCCCATCAGGCCACGCCCACCAGGCCATGCCCATCAGGCTATGCCCACCAGGCCACACCCACAGAACCGGTAGTACAAAATTTTGAATCCCACCACTATTTTGAATGATTAACAAGATTCGCCACCACTACCAGGAAGATAACCTTTCAAAACTGTTAAATCAAGAGCTTCTTAATTTGCTTTGAGTTACTCATAAAGTAGTAAAAGTGGGATTTAAAAAAATCTAACAAATAACAAATAATTATTTTCTTCACTTATGAATCTGAATGGCATAATAGAACACAATTTATAGGGATTTAGAAAGATGTGTGGAGCGAATGCATTAGATCTGAAAGAGCAAAGAGATGATCAGATACTGACTCAAGGAGCCAACCCGTTGAACACAGTCAATCTTTGTGGTTGTTGGTTAGGGTTTGTTTGCTACATTAATGGGGAACCCTGGAGGAATTTTTCCATGGTTTGAAACCACAACTGGGATTATTGCAGCTTTGCTGCAGCTGTTTCATCAGTAACTCTTTTACAACTTTGTAATTCTGGGTTGTGTCAGATCAGGAATAATGTCAGGTTTCCAAGTGATGAAATCCATTTAAAAAGAAAAGAACAAAGCCCATCTTCCAAACAAGTTCTTTTATCTAGAAAAGCATCAAATTGGCAAAGTCTGTTTTAATTTCGCATCTGACACAATCCGGAATTATACCACATAATATTGGAAATTAGGAACACCCCCCCAAAAATCCCATTCCTCAATAGAAATAAATCAACGTTGCCTGGTGTCATCAATCTCCATCTCCATGTCTCAGCAGGGTCAGCTTTTGTTCCCACAGGAAGAAACACCACTTAGCCTAAACAACTCTTTCGATCTCTACTCCTCCCACCTTAGGAATGTGGTAAGCCTGAAACCCTTCCCTCCATAACCAGCAAAGAGAAAGAAAGAAAAGGAATATATAATAAGGCTAAATAAAATGGCTACGCATATGTTAATTTCGGGCTTGACACTTCCTAAATATAAAAGTTGAGCCATGGTTGTGATGGAAACACTTCTCATGCTTAATTGACCATTCCTTGACACTTGAAACAAATAAAAAAGAAAATATCGGCTTCAACAGGCTATACAAAACAGAGGTCGTTCATGCTCATCCTTCTGTATTGATGTGCTAACCACCAAAAAGAACCGTTCTAACAATCTAATAGGGCCACTTATGTCAAAACACTTCTGGTATTTTTGACCCAAAGACTTACAAGATGGCTAAGAAAATTGTTCAGCTATAGACAGAGTTGGCAAGTCGTATGATACCTAACTTCTGCTTATGGCAGCCTGATAGCTAAAGCCAGAAGATCTCCATTATTTCAATATCTTCAGCGTAAATCCTAAGGGTGATTGTTCTATTTGTCATTATTTCATCTTTTTTTAATACTTAATTTTAGTATCATTTTTTTCACTTTAACTACCAGCCCCACTAAAACACTCTCCATTTTAGCTTTGTAATTTTTGGACAGAAGGAAGGCCAAGGTCTAAACAAAGCGCTACTTAATATTTCTATTTTCTACAAATGGCCCAGCACTGAGAAGCATTATTATAAAGCAACCAGGCGTGTAAGAACTTAAGACAGCCACTAGATGGCAGGAAAGGAACGTGTAGAAAACTGGCTTTGTTGCCTTCTAGTGGTTGTTTGGAATGTTGCAGCCCTAATCATTGGAAATGATTCTGTTTGAGGATTTCAATTAACGTTGAAACATTTCTTTCTTTTAATCAATATTTATTTCTATATATATAAGTGTGGAAAAAAAAACTCTCTCCCTATGCAAAGACTACAACAATAGCTTTCAAAAAACAAGAACAGCTAGTCTATTGACTTTTCAGTTCAGCAAATTTGAGAGGCAAGCCAGGCCAATAAAAAGTGGTTCCAAATTCTATAGAAGCTACCATATTGTAAATAATCCCCATGAAACTGTCAGAGTCAGAATTGATAAAGGAAATGTCATTGCTGCAAGGAGCAATCCGGAGAAAAGCATTTCTTGCTGGTAGCAGCAAAAGTCTACATTTTAGATCTCATTATAGTGGACCTCATATTTCTCCACACACACACACACACACACACACACATTCAGGGTGAAGGAGACCTTGTTGCAAAATACCCTTCATTGAATTTTTATATGCTTTTTTTAATAGACTCATCTCAATCTTCCTAACCTGAAAATAGAAAACCCTAAAATAGTTGTATCTGCTCTTCATTTGAACTGTTCTAGCTCTGTATTTAAGTCAGTTCTGGCCCGAACTTTTCTACTACCAGAGAATCTTGCTTGGGGGTTTACTTTTAGAGGAAATAAAACAGGGTCCCATCAATTGAAAGCCCTCTTATTTGAGACACCAAAGATGGAGAACTTCAGACTTGAGGAGGCAAAAGAATTTTCTGAGCCAACCTGTCTAAATCATTAAATTGATCTCAGGCCAGACTGCTTCCTGCTGTTAATGTGGCTCCACACCGTTTTGGTTGTGTTCTCTGCTGAGATGTGGGCATTCTGAACAATGGAATGCAGACTTGGACAAAAAAATTGAATCTTCATTCTTATTATTAAGGGTATACAAACCTGGACAGCCACTAGATCAGTGTTTCCCATCCTTAGCCATTTTAAAAGGTGTGGAGTTCAACTATCAGAACACCCCAAGAAGTCCACACCTCTTTCAAATGGTTAAAGTTACATAGCACTGCACTAGATAGTGGCAAAGTAAAAATTTGGCTGAAACCATCCAGCTATTTGAGTTTTTACAACAGAGATCTATTGAACCTTTGAACCCATTTTCTTCAAGGACAAACCTCATTCTCCTGTGCTGAAATTACCGTTACAGTTACTAATAGACCAGTTCACTTCTGGGTTGCCCAAAGAAAGATAGAAAGGTTCCTTTTAGACATCATAAAACAGGTATATCTCTGAGACGGTTGGTCAGCTTGCTTCTATACTGTATAATGGGGCCCGAAATATCACAGATGGAACCTTTAAGTTATCTTGAAGTAGGAAGGCAAACAAGCATTGAATTCTTTGTATGGATAGTGACTTATCTCTGCATACTTTTGAAGAGTGAGATTCAGGTTGTAGTTTGCTGATTTGATCAGATTCTGGGCCTCTAGGTGGGTCATGCCATCTGTGTTGACGCCATCAATTGCTATCACCATATCCCCCTGAGTCATCTGAGATTGGGCTGCCTTGCTGCCAGGGGTGATCTATAAAAGAAAGAAAGAAGAAAAGGTCAATAATATATACCACCCGTCTCTAGATTCATGTCACCTAGAGAGTCGCCTTATATAATTGACAAGGTCAGGTTTAAACCACCCTGAGAATGAGTTCTCCTTCTATCTTTTTTGCAAACCAGAAGGCACAAAATCAAAAGAGGAGTCAAAATAAAACAGGAGCAACAACGAGGGGCTGAAAGAGACAACGCTCTATCACAGTGGTGGTATTCAATTTTTTTTTACTACCAGTTCTGTGGGAATGGCTTGCTGGGCGTGGCAGGGGAAGGATACTGTAAAATCCCCATTTCCATCCAATTAAATATATTTGGGGGCGAAAGCTCTGATAGTTTAGTTACAATCTTTTAAAGATAAGAGTTGGAATGTACTTTCGATTTCAAACCGCTGCACTGCTCTTCCAGATTTCCTTCCTCCCCCCCGCCCTTTTATGGCAACTACTAAAACAGGCATAGGAATGTTTTATGAGTTGACACCCCACTCTAGGGGAAGGCTACTGCAAAATCCCCATTCTCTCCTACCCCACTAACCTGCTTTCCAGCTCTGTTCTCTTGTGCAGGGCAACCAAAGAAGACCCAGCCGATCAGCTGGGACTCGGGAGGCAGAGAATAGATGGGGGCAGGGCCAGTCAGAGGTGGTATTGGCCGGTTCTCCAAACTATCAGAATTTATGCTACCAGTTCTCCAGAACTGATCAGAACCTACTGAATACCACCTCTACTCTACCACTAATCTCCCTTCACAAAGACAAGGTAGGACTTAGCTTCCACAGGGCAAGGAAACAGTGGACATTTTGGAATAAGCCAAAAATGCAAGGGAATTCACTCTGACCAAGTGGCCATCAGCCAACAACACATTAAACTTATTTATGGATCGATCAAAAGATGTAACCAAGGATGTCGTTCACATGGAGATTGCTAACTCCACAGAGTCCCTCACTGAGCATAACCAATTTAATACAAAGGTCTTATCTTGTCATTTGCCAACCAATGAACCTCACTTCTCCACATCTCCTGCATGGATGACATTACCTACTGTGATAATAAAATATCTGGATTTAAAAGCCTACCTCAGAAACCTCAAACAGCACCACACACCAAGCCTGAGCTACACTTCTTCTCGACTGTTGTAACCTATTTCAGAATGTTAGGTGAATTCAAGAAATCAGTGCACGTTTGAGTGAAAATCCATTTCATGATCCTACTTTTCTCAGTCCCCTGCTAATAATTTTATAACTCTTAAACTGTCTTAAATTGTTATGCCCCCCAAAAAGGAATAATCACAATTTGTCTACTGTACACATTCTTCACATTCATCGCTTTTCTAGTTTTTTGAAATAGGTGCACAATAGCTGACCAGTTCTGGAAAACCGGTAGCAGAAATTTTGAGTAGTTCAGAGAACCAGCAAATACCACCTCTGACTGGCCCCGCCCCTATCTATTCTCTGCCTCCCGAGTCCCAGCTGATTGGCTGGGTCTTCTTTGGTTGCCCTGCACAGGAGAACGGAGCTGGAAAGCAGGTTAGTGGGGTGGGGAGGGAATGGGATTTTGCAGCATCCTTCCCCAAGGAGTGGGGTGGGAGTGGAGATTTTACAGTATCCTTCCCCTGCCATGACCACCAAGTCACGCCCACCGAGCCACTCCCACAGAACAGGTAGTAAAAATATTTGAATCCCACCACTGGTTGCCTTCTGTGACAATCCCTGAATATGCCTTAGTGGTGTTTAAACCATCAAACACGCCATGCATGAGGCTATGAAAATACATCATCTGGGTCACCCAACTTTGAGATGGGGATGAACAGAAAAAACAAGATGGGATGAAATTGAGACAAATGGCAACTTCAGAACATTGCTGGAAGGAGCAATCTAATTGGGGTTCAGCTGTCTCCAGCTTGGCTTCTGGCAACTTCAGAGACAAACCCACACACACTTCTCAGCAATGGTACAAGTGTGGTTTTCCATCACCTTCACTTTCATTTTGTGTCTTAACTTCTCTGTCTAACCTACAGCCCGAGTAAAGTCTGTCAAAAGTTCATAAATCTAACCAGAAATGGTATTCAGGAACCATATTTTCTGTGGTCAGAATTGGGCCCATCTAACATAACTCCTCAGACATAAAAGGTGCTCCTGGCTTCATAACTGTGATCACTTATCAAACAGAAATGATGTGTGTTGTGTGTGCACAGTTCACACACAAGCTCTTTGAAAAAAGGAGAGAGCCTCCCTCCCTCCCTCAAGAATATATATATATTGCACCTATCTTGGGAACATTGCTATCTTGTCAGAAAAATGTTAAGTATTTTGACTTGCTGATGTATTCAAATTTAGGAAAGCCAATGCAGGCTCATTCACACCTGCTTGTACTTATCAAGGATGAAGATTCATTGCTGAACCTTTTGAGAAGATGAGGAGGAGAAGGAGGAGGAGGAGGAGGAGGAGGAGGAGGAGGAGGAGGAGGAGGAGGAAAAGGAGAAGGAGAAGGAGAAGGAGAAGGAGGAGGAGGAGGAGGAGGAGGAGGAGGAGGATCACATGGACTTCAATATAGATAATTGACTAATCAAAGTTATAACAAACCCCCTGAAAGCTACTTACAACATGGTTCCAAAGTTACAACAACTCGGTCCCCCATTCATACCACCACACCCATGTAGAACTAATACCGTCAAACTGAAAAATTGTGTCTTTTCATTCACCTAGCTTTTGTGATGATTTGTCCTATGAAATTGGAAGAAGACAAAGCCAAGATGAGAAGCTGCATCATCCTTGACCGTACCCATAAATCAACCCCAAAGGATGCAAAATATGACGAGTTTTCAGGCATATCTGCAGAACAGCTATTGTCTTCTAGTTGTGGTGAGTTACCAATCTCTTTTCAGAGGCATCTCTGCAAAATCTCTGTTTTGCAATCACTGCCCCCCTCCTTCCTTTCTATGGGGAGATCTAAGTTCCTTATATTCACATTCTAAATATAGATTTTCAAACTCTTTCAGGAAAAAAAAACCCCATCTTGTAGTACAGTAATTTTCATGTCTTTATCTCTTCCTGGGCTGTCATAGACTGTGAAACTATTGGTGTAAGATATGTTTGACACATATCACACTCAACAGCTCCTGAATGGAATTATTCATCATAATTCCTGCTCGTGTAGGATATTCCATTAAGGGTGCTCAGATGGGTTATTCTTCAATCTAGATTGCAAAATTCCTGATGGTCACTACATGACAGAAAAGCACTAGAGTCTTGAGGCCCAAACCTGACAGCCAAACAGGCAAGCAATGTTTCTCTTACAAGCCACAGACAATCATCTATGACAGAGGTCTCCAAACATGGCAACTTTAAGACTTGTGGACTTCAACTCCCAGAATTCTGGGAGTTGAAGACCACAAGTCTTAAAGTTGCCAAGTTTGGGGACCCCTGGTCTATGACGATGCACAGCATGGGAGAGGGCGGATGATGGCCAAAATGACAATGGATGGGCATTGTGCTATACAATGCGGCATTATTGTGCAGTGTGCAACATCGACAAATACAACGACAGAGAAGAAGCTAGGTCTTTATTTTAGCTTGGCCTAGGTCTTATCTTTATTGTTGGCCTAAATTGCAGCCAAGAATGAATTCATGAAACTAAAAAAAAAAACTTGGCTTGGTTCAAAGATGAAAACATCATCCCAAGCTTCATGCTGGCAGGTTAGAAATAAATCCTATTAAAGATAGAAGAATTTCAACTGATTGGTAGGTGAGAGATCTGGGCAAACTCCTCTGAGATGAATTAAGCAAGACAACCTCCAAGTTAATAATATCCCTCCTCTGTCCCTTAAATTTTTCAAGGGTCCCTGGGACAATATGATGACTCCTCCGTATTTTGACAAAGTCCACAAAGAGCTGAAACATCAAGAGAAGAGATTAACACTGGACAGAAAAGCAAACTGAAGAGTGGCTGAAGAGAACATACTCTGAGCAAAGGGGATGTTTCCAGAACAGAGCCTCCTCTTAAACACTGAAGAATAACTTACTAAAATTAGACCCTAACTGATTTCCACTATCTGTTTCCAAGGAAGCCCAAAGCACATGATTGGAACCAGCACAAAGAATATTTGGATAATCAACAGTAAGCGACCTTCCAAAGCACTGAGACAGATAAGTCAGGGCCAGTTCAGTTGTATTTAGGAGGGGGGAGTGTTGGGATTGTGGAGGATGGGACAACACACTTGTTCCAATCCAGAAGCAAGACCTTCTAGAAGTAATCTGCTCTCTATCAGCTGATCTGAAATCTACCAGATGGAAGGTGGGCCCAGATGGTTCCTAGAAGGAATTATTTTCCTTGCAACTTGCTGCTCTCAAATAAAATGTGTACAGGTAAGCCGAACCATTTCAGACCGCAGATGTGAGTTTGTGGAGTTGGATGCTCCCCTATATGGAAAACTTCTGGAGTACGTGCAAAATGGGCACTCATAAGGTGGAAATTGCTGGCTGGTTACTACATATTGTTATGTTATGAGCCTCGGTGGCGCAGTGGTTAAGAGTGCAGTACTGCAAAACTACTGCTGCTGACAGCCAGCTGCCTGCAATTTGGCAGTTCGAGTCTCACCAGGCTCAAGATTGACTCAGCCTTCCGTCCTTCCAAGGTGGGTAAAATGAGGACCCAGATTGTTGGGGAAGAGATGTTGACTCTGTAAACCGCTTAGAGAAGGCTGTAAAGCACTATAAAGTGGTATATAAGTCTAAGTGCTATTGCTATATTGTATTCCTCTGGAAAGTCAGTAAAAAACCAAAGCTGGTTACACGTTCATTCGCAAATATGGAGTATCTGTCATGAGATACCTTGAACCTCATAGCAAAGAAATCTGTAGCTGGAGAAAGAATTGATCCTAGTTTCCTTTCATATCATGAAAGGTGGTATTCAGAGGTGGTATTCAGCAGGTTCTGTCCAGTTCTGGAGAACCGGTAGCAGAAATTTTGAGTAGTTCGGAGAACTG